TTTAAATATTTAAGATTTTGTTCAAAAATTTTTTTGGAATCGTAATGATTAGGTACGTAAGAATATTTGTTTTTAAACATTTTTCCATTTACTGTTTAGCATATTCAAGATTTTATCGATCTTTAAAATATTGGTTAAAAATAWCGACGTTTGAACTTTTAAAGCTTAACAATTTTACTTTTTACAGTTTTAATTATTTAATTATGTAGGTAATTGAAAATGTTCATCTTTACGTTAATTATTACTATGTATACTTAAACAAGGAAGTTTTAAAAATATTAAGACATATTTTTAATTATTTATACCCACAATTTCATTCACGCCATAATAAAATTGGTCTGTCGCATGTTATAGCCTTATCCTTAAATATATWATATGCGCCRTTTCCTTWTCAATGCTGCGGTGTCCGAGCGGTTAAGGAGTTGGACTTGAAATCCAATGGGTTTTACCCGCGCAGGTTCGAGTCCTGCCCGCAGCGGTATTTTTTTGCAGTTTTTCCTACTATACGCTTTTCATTGTTTCCCGGTATTACAAGGTGCGAGCCGCGAGGGAAATATGTACAGTACGCAGAACTAAAAACGTATTTACCCGCAGTTCCGAAGCAGTAACGATTTGAAAATATAACAGGTATAATAATAATAGTAATAATATATTAAGGTATTATTATCCATACAAAACACCAAAATCCAAAATTAAAATAAGGCGCAGCCCAAAAACGAACGTTATCGATTATCCATACGCACATATAATATAATATACTCGGAAACRAGTAATATAAATTTAATGGAATATAAACTCATCCGGCTTCTATTACAGGTTATACCGGTGACCGGTCGTCATCCAGCACTATACACATAAAATATTATGAAAAATCATTTAGGTATATAATACGTACGACACACACTCGCGCGCACGCTATTCATCTATAATACGGTATATTGTATTATTGCCCACGAACGACGGTGTGTGCATGTGTGTCGTCTCCTCTAATGGGTCCATTTGCATGTTTTATCTATAGTGGATTACGTGCCTTCCCGTCCTTTCGCGTCCATTCAAGAAACCGTTCCCATGGAGGAGCCAATAATATCATCTACTCTCTCTCACACACACACACTCACTCTCTCTCTCTCTCTCTCTCCAACTACCTGTCTCTATATGTCGTACACAGAGGTACGCCACACATACAATATTATTATTATTATTATTATTATTGTTATTACTATTATATATTATTATATTATTATATACGACAACCGGCCGATAATTCATTCACGTTTTCCTTCTTCTCTTCCGCCGCAGCGCTAGAGAGTTGAACAACCGACCGCAATTCACTCCGCCGTCGCCACTGCCTGTGCCGTCGTCGCAGGCATCTCTCTTTATATATTTTATATATTGTGTATATGTTTTGTGTGCATTATAACGGTTACCGCCACAGTCACACCACTGCCGTATAATATTATATGATTATAATAATTATCATTACGCGAATACGTCTTATACTGCACATTATCGTGCATATATATACATATTGTAATATGTAAATATAATATGACACGAGTGTCTCTTCTATTATTATTATTTATTAAAGTACCATAATGTATGAAGGTAATAACAATATTGTTACTAAAGTTGTGCATGTGCGCCAGACACGAGATAACATGGACTTTATTGGCCGTAGTTGTTGTCGTTGTTATTGTTGTTGTTGTTGTTAGTATTTCGACTACCGGACTGCCGCGTGACAATGCGAGACCACGTCGAAAATCATGTTATGGGTGACCCCGCAACCCATGGTCACGAATCGGGCGATGCACTAAATATAGCGACACATGAGCAGTTATCGAGACCAAGAAATAAAATATTTTTAAATAATATAAAGTGTAGTCTTAGACAAATATGTGTTATGTCTTATGTGTCTGCATTGTTCGGGTTCTAAATTATTTGAAAACTAGAGAATAAAACGCGTGTCAGGTATTTATCTATACTTAAAGCATAAGTTTTTAGATTGGTCGTCAGAAGTCAAAAAGGGAGTTAAGGTCTACAACAGTGGTTCCCAACCTTTTATGAGTGCGACCCTAAAATTTTAAATTTAACTTTTGGCGACCCAAAAAAAAAGAACATATTTTTTTTCTTCCGAAATTGAAATTATAATACAATAAAATATACTATGTACCTAAATGTAAGAAAAGCTTTCGCGACCCACCATGAAAACCTCTGCGACCCTAATTTGGGTCGCGACCCGAGGTTGGGAACCRCTGGTCTACAACTTGATGACGCTATTGTTATTTGAACATTTTTTAAGATATTTTACCGTGTGAATTCGATAATTTAAAATAAATGTATTATATCTGATTATGATACATAACATATTATTATGTTGGTATAGTTAGTCGAATAATTTAATCCAACAAACTAAAGTACTGAAATAGGAGTACGCAGTGACGTATTTAAAGGGGGGGGAATAAAAGGGATAGATTCGCCTTTGTCTCTTTATTTGTTACTTATRTTTAAAATATCGTGATCTCGACGGTTAGTGAACTCCCTTTAAGCCCTAGAACCTCCATTTAAGGAGATTAAATGTTTGCTAACGTATATCCCCCTTAGACAAAATCCTTAATATGCCAATGGGGGTTCATGATCGATAACTAGGACAATATTTTAAAGGCTGTATACTATAAATCTATATGTTATAATACGCCTGCAATACAACGTATACAKGAGCTATGTATACAGAAAGCTATTTACATTCTGAGCAAAGCTGTAAATATATAAATTGATAACATATTAAGTAACGTTTTGAAAGTTTATTCTGTTGTCCTCGATCATCAAAAACTCATACCTATTACAAGTGACTACCCGAGTAAAACTCCTCACTTCTGACTATGCATATGCGATAACATATAGATATATATAACACTTGATATAAATTAARATATATATGTGGCGATGGCGTGTTAAAACTCCGAAATTGTTTAGGTTTGTTTATGTGTTTTACCGAATTCATGTATATAATCGGGTTTCTCGAAGAATGATCGTCAATCGCACACATGTTCACGGCATTATTGTAGCGTACGAGATTCGAAAACAATCGTAAAAAAAGAGCTGAAGGGCGGCTGGATTGTATAATCTATGTATATACGGATGAGGCGCCGAAGCAGTGCACCGCGTCGGTGTCTATATAATAACCGTTTTCTGGTATTTTTTTTTTCCTTCCCCCAATGTGTTTCGTCAACGAATTTACGGCGAGAGCAGGGCACACCACAACGTTACAAGTTTTTATATCGATGCCATTAAAACGTGAACGACTTCTGACTCCTGTCGTTTTGGGGTGCATCGTTAATAAGTGTCGTATATTATAACATACGCGTAATACGCATAATTTATGCAGCCCGGTCGGAATAATTATTATTGTGTTACGAAAGCGGTGCAGCGATGGGTTCTCTACGGCAATCACAATACATTATAATTATACGATGATATCCCCTCGTTTTCGTAACACGAATTTTCAATCACTCGGTATCTGCATATTCATTATGTACTTATTTTGTACGCATATATATAGCCCATAAAAGTAGGTACCTGGTATACGGCGGAGTGGCTATATATTTGCGTGCGTGTTGCAACCGGACGAAAAAACGCGTCATATAATAATATAATATTGTTATTATAATTATATACCGTTGCTACCGGAAAAAATAGTTTTATTGTTTGTTTGTTTTGTAACAACATCCTCTACAGTCACAGGGAGGATCTACAGGTGTTTTTAATTTATTTTACTGGTATAAAAACGAATTTAGTATAATATACATATTATTATAATAATTAGAGTTAGGATGTAAATGACCTAAAAAACACACAAAAATGCCCTAAAAAAAATGCAAAAAAGCCCTAAAAAAAATGCAAAAAAGCCCTAAAAAAAGATAAAAAAATGCCCTAAAAACTTCAAAAAGTGACCTTAAAAATTATCTGAAATACCTACTAATGAAGTAAGTGAAAAACTTATTTATAAATAATAATTTTTGTTAGAGATATGGGTATAAATAAATTTTAATTTAATTAATATTAAAACTATATTTCACTAATAGTCCAAATCCAAAGTTAGATTTTAAATAAATTAAATTTGTTTCCAAATTTGGGTATAACATTTGCCCTAAAATCTTTAATATGTGAAAAATGCCCCACATTGTATAAAAACTACAAAAAATGCCCTAAAAGATGAAAACAATGTTGAAAAATTACGTTAAAAAACAAAAAAAAATGCATTTATAGCTAAAAATTCTAAAAATGCAAAAAAATGCAAAATAAAATTAGAATATTTTGCATCTAGGGAGCATGAAACAAATTTTTAGCTAGGATAGCATTGTACAGAATAAAAGGAAAAAAATACAATAGTCATCAACATCCTAACTTTAATAATAATATCGTAACCGTGAAACTATGTAGTCGCTAGTAATGTGACGTGTGCCAAAAAATAGCTTGCAACAATAATATTGCACTATAATTTAAAATACAATACCAATTTTATTTTTGATTTATTATTGATTGTTATATATTTATACACAGATTAGTATTTTGACCAAGATTTTTTTCAGGGTGATAGAAAACCACCCCATTCAAACGATTTGTTCTAATATGCTTTATTAAATTATTAGTTTTTATTAAATACTGTACCTAGTTAAATTAATTTATTTGGTGATATATCCGCGCTGCAGAGGGGGAAGCTGATATTATAATATATACTAGATTATACAGTCATTGGTCACTTGTAAATCGAAATCCTCATTATTTCAGGATGGATTGATATTATAATTTCACCGTGCTTTAAGAAAGGATTTTTGGAAATTCAACCCCTAAAGGTAAAATTAAGTGGTTGTAAGTATACAATAGTGGCGCCATCTATAAATTAATATTTAATATTATTAATATTATTAAATTATTATTATTATTATTATTAATTAGAGGTTGTCATTGGCATATAATATGGGCATAAGATATTATTTTTTTATTAATCAGTTATTATTTTCATTTTCATTTATAAAAAATGTCATCTATTGACGAAATTACTGTGATGTTAACATCTCAAATAATTTTACCAATTATGGGTAGTGGTTCCTGACTTTTCCGTTCAATTTCCTTTCATTTATATAAGACTCAAGAAAGATGCCAGGAGATCCGAARTACAATTGTTGCGTATGTTTCTGATAATTGGAATAATAATAATAATACCTTTGTTAATATGTCTTACAATTCATATGATGACAATTTTTCCACTGCTGAGGATTATGTTCGTGATATGGAAAATCCAGCTGTCTACGGTGGTTACTGCGAATCGTTTGCAGCCGTTAACATTTTCCTGTATGTATTTGAAATTTATTATAATGATAATCTTTATGCCAAATTTGGTGTAGATACATTCCCAGTAAAAAGATTGCGTCTAACCGGAAATATTAATAGTGGGTATTTTGATGTTTATTTATTTAT